TGACTGAACTAAACTTCCTCTCTCCTTAGCTAGACTTGAACTTATTTCTAATGTTCCCCACCCATCACCCCTGCCCCAGCCTGAAAGGATGGAAAAAGACCATATCTTCACTGTTTGTCTCTGACTCAGATATTAAAAAGTCATAATAGTGCATATGGCAGAGTGGTTATGAGTATATTTTAACTTCTTTAACTTAGTGAATATGTGTAGGGAATGTTTAAGATCTGTCAAATCGTGGAGGAAAAAAGATTGAGAAAAATGAAAGTTTGTAGCTGAATAAATAGTAACATCGTTTAATACAGAACAAGAGCAGTTGAAATAGAAGAAATTATCAAAGCTGCAATCAAAGAAAACTCCTAAGCTTGAAAAAAACTGTGGATATGTGATGAAATCTGTCTTCCAGGAAAAATGAGCAAAAGAGACTAATAGAAAGATACATTCTGGTAAAATTTTTGTGTTATAAAGGAAAAAGTTCTAGGAGCATACAGACTGAAAAATTCTGTTGCCCATACAGTAACAAAAGTAAGCTGTAGCACTACACTTATTTATGGACCAATGTCTATATAATTTCGTGAAAAAAAAAAAATTGGGACTTACCTAAACATTTTTTACCCATCCATAGTTAAGCCATTGCTACAAGAATTGTTATTAACAAAAATGTTTCTTTTCCAAAAAAAACAGAGTTATTTTGAGTAACATAAGGGCCATTTTCTAGACTTTTTCTTGTGTCTCTGGAGATTATATAGAATAATCTCTTCATATTACCTTCAATCTGTGAATGTTTTTATGTTAAATTTATTAATATAAGCATATACAGTAGTATCTCAATTATGACAAAAAATAGTTAAGAAAAAATTATTTACCAAGCTAAAATCTTAACAGTGATGGGTGTTAAGATTGAACACTATCATCATTTAAATATTCTCTAATATTTTCCAAACATTCTACTGTATGCATGAATTATTTATTTTTCTTTACATTCTTTAAAAATAATTAAAACTTTTTAATCAGTAAAAATGTTTATAAGCCAAAATAGTGAAGTCTTTACAATTTTATATTTGCCAAGTAGCTGAAGTGACTGAAAGGAAGCACACAAAATCTCAGTAGTGAGTTGTTTTGTCTTTTTCCATATTTTGCAGGTTTTATGTAGTGAGTTTCATACTGCTTTTATGATGGAAAAAGATCCTTTATTTAAAAATAAACATTTAGTTTCATTAATTAATGACATGAGATGCAAATGTTTCTGCTTATATGTGAATGTTCTTTTTTTTTTTTTTGAGACGGAGTTTCGCTTTTGTTACCCAGGCTGGAGTGCAATGGCGCGACCTCAGCTCACCGCAACCTCCGCCTCCTGGGTTCAGGCAATTCTCCTGCCTCAGCCTCCTGAGCAGCTGGGATTACAGGCACGTGCCACCATGCCCAGCTAATTTTTTGTATTTTTAGTAGAGACGGGGTTTCACCATGTTGACCAGGATGGTCTTGATCTCTTGACCTCGTGATCCATCCGCCTCGGCCTCCCAAAGTGCTGGGATTACAGGCGTGAGCCACCGCGCCCGGCCTATATGTGAATGTTCTTTTTCCTAAGACCTTTCTTAACATAAATCATATCCCATGTTGAGAGTTTTACTGACCCCTTAAGATATATCTTTCCAGGAGTTTTCACTGATAGGCACATTTGCCAATGTGTTGTCACATAGAAGAGTTCCAATATTTATTCAGGCAACAAATTATCTATTGAATGCTTACCGTGCTAGCTGCTGAGAGTACAATGAGTAACTCAGACATGCTTCCTGTTCTTATGAAGTTTAAAATTTAACATTTGAAATTGGTTGAAGAAGCTGTCAAGGGTTCAGTAGGTGACAACCCACTGTGGAAGCATCCAGCCTTGTCTAGAAGAACAAGAAAGGTTTTCAAAGGAAGCGTGGTGTCGGAGTAGCCAGAGGGGCAGTTGTCCCAGGGAGTTGAAATACGCAACGATCTGGAGGCGTGACCTGCGTTTAGGGAACCAGAAATAGGTGAACACAGTGACAAGAAGGAGCTTGGTGTTGGGGAGTAATGAGTGATAAAGGCTGGAATCAGTATCCAGGTCATGAAGGGCCTTATAAACTGAGTTAGGGAATTCAGATTTTCCTTTGGGTAACGGGAAGCCATTGGATGGTGCATTCATTTCCTAGGGTTACTGCAACTAATTACCACAAACTTGGTGGCTTCAGACAACAGAAATCTACTGTCACAGTTTTGGAGGCCAGTAGTTCAAAATCAGGGTGTTGGCAGGTTGGTTCCCTGGAGGCTCTGAGGGAGAAACTGTTTCATGCCTGTCTCTTAGCTCCTGATGACTGCCGGCCACCCTTCACACTCCTTAACTCGGGCTTTCAAAACTCGAATCTCTGTTTTGGGCTTCACATGGCTTTCATCTCTCAGTTTTTTTGCTGTCTCATAAGGGCACTCATCATTGAATTTACTTACATACCACCCTAATCTGGGATGAACTCATTTCAAAATCCTTACCCTAATTACATCTTCAAAGACCTTTATTCCAAATAGGGTCACCTTCTGAGACTCATGATGAATGTATGTCCTTGAGGCCACAGTTCAACCTGCTACAGAAAGCTTTAGAAGGGCAACTGAACAAACTTACAAATGAAATGACTTACACATTTCGAAAGGATTGTTCTGGCTATTGTGTGAGAATGGACTTCAGAGGGGGCAAGGCTAGAAACAGGGAGGTCAGTGGTACAGAAAGCCAGTGACTTTAGAGGTAAAAATGTGGAGATCAGGCTGGGCGTTGTGGCTCACACCTGTAATCCTAACACTTTGGGAGGCTGAGGTGAGTGGATCACTTGAGGTCAGGAGTTCAAGACCAGCCTGGGCCACATACCAAAACCCTATTTCTACTAAAAATACAAAAATTAGCTGGACGTAGTGACATATGCCTGAAATCCCAGCTACTTAAGAGGCTGAGGCACGAGAATGACTTAAACCTAGGAGGCAGAGGTTGCAGAGAGCTGAGATGGCACCACTGCACTCTAGCCTGAGTGCCAGAGTAAGACTCTGTTTCAGAAAAAAACAAATGGTGATAAGTGTAGAAAATACTTTGAAGATGGTTGATTGTGGAGAGAAGATGATAAAGGGGTGTGGTTGAGGAGCATGTGGTGGTAAGGAGGGAATTTTGAAGGATGGGAGACACTTGGTGCATTTTTCATGCAAAGGAGAAAGACACTGCATCCACAAGGGAGGGTGACTGACAGTGCAGGAGTGACAGGCTGAAAGCTAGAGAGGAGAGGCGGATGGGATCCCGAGCTCCCATTGAGTACAAAGCAGCTGATCCATCCCATAGTTCACCACCTCTAGGTATTTTAGTAGCTCTGGAAAGTTGGTTGGTGATGTTGAGAAAGATGGTTTACTCCTGTTTAAGGACTCTGTCAAGTGCCACACAGATTACTTTCCATGTGTTACCTCTTTTAATCTTTGATGTGGCTGTATTTATTTTCTCATTTTACAGTTTAGCAAACTGGAGCACAAAGAGGTTAAATAATTTGCTGAAGGCCACACAGATAGTAAGTGGTAGTGTCATTTCAACCCAGCACTGTGACCGCTGACCCCTTGCCTATAACTACTACTACTGGGAACTGCCTCAGAAGAGAGGGGGCATAGTCAGTATGCATGTACTTTATTTTCCGTGGTATGTGTTGGCTTTGATAGCGGGCGCTGCTATTGTTTCACTGACTATAAAGCTATTATCTTGCCTGCTATTTTGTTTCATTAGTCCTTATATTGGCTTGCCACTAGGTTTGATTCAGTAAGGTGGTATCACATATTTCTTTATCTTTCCAAGGTGTTAGGATTGGTTTTATTCATCTTTTCTTTATTTATCTGGACAGTAGGTTTAGGTGAGTATTATCCCTTCATATTATTAAGGCTTTGTGTATTAAACCTGTCCAGTGATTATAGCTGCTCTAAGGAGATTCATTTTCATAAGCATTCGCATATACCCAGTTCCCTTGAATGATTCTTAATGACATTTGTTCTGTAATCTAACTCTTTTATACAAGTTAATTGCTGGATGTCTTTACTGAATGTTATTTTGGCTCGTATGTCACTTCCTTAGAGGATTCTTCCCTAAACTCTGAACTAGCTCTGGTCTCCCTGTTATATATGCTCATAGCTGAAAGCAATGGCTGGGACTCTTTGGCATACTGGATATTACTTAGGCCACTTAAAGGGCTGAGGTTTTTGAAACTGATGATGATAAGGAGGAGAAGAAGGAGAGGAAAGAAGAAATGGAATTTCATCTTCCAAAATTCTAAAATATTAGTAGTCAAAACTATAATTTGTACTTCTTGTATGGATGGCATGAATTAGTAATTTTCTTATTGCTGTTGATAACCATGATCAAATTGTTGCACAGCTGGATATGCAAAAATGTATCCAGGAAGTGACTTTCCCTCCAATCGCTAATATTGATGGAAGTATCTATCTGAAAATTTGTCTCAAGTGATGATTGTGTAAGCTTTAGGCAGCTGCATTTTTGGAGATTTGCATCAAATATGCAAAATAAATCCATTTGATTGAACTCTCTTTTGTGGTTTGTGTGTTTGAAGTTGAATACTGGGCTGAGGATAGGAGCAAGAAAAGTTGTGCTCCACGTAGAAGAAATGACACATTCAAAGGCAGAGAGGTCTCTCATCCGAGGCACCAGTGCAGCAGGATGTACTGGCCAACAGTCCTTTTCTTCCCCTGTACCCAGTCCTGGGGATGTCAGCCAGAGTCAGGACTTGTAGAGTATTTGTCATTTCTCATTAATAAAAGTAAAGATTCTGAGTAGCATTGATCATAATTTGTTAGAACCGAAACTTAGGTCACTCTAATTGTGATATTTTTTTCCCTTTGTGTTCTTTCGCCAGTCACGCCTGAAGCCATTGGCTTCTTGTCTGCTGTTGGGGTCTTTATTGTTCTTCTGGCCGTCCTCTTCCTCTTCATCAACAAGAAGCTGTGTTTTGAAACAATAGGAGGCCTTCCTTTCCTGGAGCATCGAGGGAAAAGAAAACACTCTAAAGACAAGACTGGGACCCGCAAGGGGCTGGGTAAGCATTAACGCTTCAGATTCTCCTGGGCTGGGCAGCTTGCTGTGGTCTGGGTCAGGGTGGACGTGATGAATGCACTTTACTAAAGAATACGTTATCTTTATGAAAGTACTGTTCTCCGAGTATGAGGAGCAGATGGGAAGAGGCTCTGGCCACCACTTCCTGTCTTCTTAGCTCTTTAGAAGTCTCTGTTGAGTTTTCCTGTGAGGAATGCTTGAAGAAACACAATGTGTTCTGTTTGACAAGAACCTTGATGTGTTATAGTCTCATGATGTTGGAACGATGTTGACATTTCACTTGTTAGCTGTTTTTGAGATTTTTTCAGTGCTCAGGACCATGTCCCACCTTGTATGGCAATGTTCACTTTTCCAAAGGGAGGTTTTTACTCTTTAAGCTCACTGAGTATACTATGTTGTTTACTCAAACTGAACTACCTTCAGTTTGATGGGGGGAAGATAATACACTTAAAGAAATAAGTGGCTTCCTGCTCTTAAAGAACATATTCTGTTTTCAACTGCTGAAGCTTAGAACTTTGTGATAAGGATGTTTTCACAGAAGGATGGTTATCATCACACAGATGCAGGGCATTTAAAGAGAGTACTCTTATCTTACAGATAATAACTTTACTCTTTTTTATCAGTATGATTATTTCTCTCCTTTTCCATACCTCACAAGGTATGAGGCATGGTATAACTGAGCAATCTTACATTTTTTTTTGAGTGAAGCGAAGGTCTTGAGGAGAGTACCCTCCAGGAATCCTATGGTCTTGGTGTGTTATAGGTATGCCTGGACCAAGGAGGATATTTGGCTTATTGATATGGCAGCTTTTGTAGCCATGGATAGCTCAGCTTTTTTTTTTTTTTTTTTTCCTTTTTTTTAAGAAAGGGTATAATGTAGAAATAAAGGCAATAAATGATCTATTGCTTGTAACAAATTATCCCAAAACTTAGCAGCCTAAAACAACACAAATTCATTATCTCACAGTTTTTGAAGTTCAGAAATTGAGAAGTGGCTTAACTGGATGGTTCTAGACCAGGGTCTGTTGTAAGGCTGCAATTAGAATGTCTGTCATCTGAAGGCTTCAGTTAGAATGTCATCTGAAGGCTGGACTGTGGCTGGTGGAGTCACCTTCAGGATGGCAAAAGACTTCAGATCCTATCCATGTGGAACCCTCCACAAGGCTACTTGAGTGCTTTATGATGTGGCAGCTGGCTGTCCTCGGAGTAAGAGATCCACGAGAAAGCAAGGAGGAGTCACCGTTCTTTTTATGCCCTAGTCTGGGAAGTCTTACAATGCCACTTTTATCACATTCTGTTCATTCATTGAGCACAGCTCAGGCTCAAAGTTGGGACATTCAGTTCTACTTTTTGAGGAGGAGTATCAAAGAGTGTGCAGACATATTTTTACATCCCTGTGGGAGATAATAATAATAAGAGAGGTGTAAATTGCAGATTTGGCAATTGCTCTGGCATTCCTGCTGCTGCAGTGGCCTTATTTTTTGAACTTCCCATGAGACATATGACTTATTCTGAAAATAGAATGGAATATTTTAAATAGAGCTTGCCATGCAAAAGCTGGGACTTATGAATGGTTTAGATGCTACTGTCCCAGCTGGGACATAAGTGAATGAGATGAACAGATGTCTGTCTGGTCATGGGGTGGTATGGAGGTAGAATTCATCAGGATTCTATTTCTCTCCCTTCAGCAGCTGGCTGTCACTCATTATATGACCTTGGCAAATTCTGGAACCATTCTGAACTTCAGTTTCCTCATTTGCATATTGGGATTATCAGTACATCTCTTGCAGGGTCAACCTAGATCAAATGAATTAATTTTGTAGAGACACCAGTTTAGTGCCTATAGCAATGTAACAGCAATAGCAAGTCACAGTGATGGCTGCTAGGAGTGACATCACTCATTAATGCTTTGTATTCATTACTTAAATTGGGAGATTAAAGTTGGTGATGTTTTTTCCTTTGCAAACTATAATGGGTATGAGGAACTGAGGTTAGAGCTATTTAAAATGTTTCCTTTTTGTCTTGTTTGACATTTTATCTGAATATTTTAGAGACAATTATGAATTATACTTGCAAATAAGTTGAGGTTTTAAGATAATGTTGAAACAATAACAATAAAACATGAACAAAAGCTGTTCGCTCAAGAAACACTGAAAAATACATGTCTCAAATTCAGAGTGGGGTCATGTAAAGGGAGCTTTAAAAATAGTTTCTTCAGGAACGTCCCCAAATTGTAATGTCTAAAAAGCAAACACCTTCATTTTGACATTTCTCCTTTTATAAGTTTAATTATTGTTACCAAAAGTCTTTGAAAAACATGCTTCTACCCTAGATTGTGTCTAACCTTTGATATTTGCCTGAATTATCCTCAGAGTACTGATTTCTCAGTGAAGCTGGGATGTTCTTAACATATTTTGACAAACATGAAGAAGGCAGGCAGGCAGCCTGCTGTGGTGGGAAGAAGCCCAGTACAGACAGACAGAGCTTAGTTTTGCCACTAATTGGCCATGATATTTTGGGAAACTCACTTCACCTCTCTGAGCTTTAAGTCTTCATTTGCAAATTGATAAGTCTGGACTATGCTTTCCCCTTCTCATTCTGTGATCCTGTTTGGTTCTTAGGGTTACCATAGCAACTTCTTCTCTAGCTTTCAGTCTATGAATGGAAGAGACCTAATACAAATGAGACCATCCTACTCTTAGACTAAACCATATGAGATTGCCATTTTTGTTGATCAAAAAATGGTAAGAGTATCAGAAACCGAATTAATCATTTTATTCTAATATATGTGAGGTTCTGAAAAATAAAATAATTCATTTTGATTATGTGGTAATATCAGAGAGGCAGGAGTGGCTGTTTGTTTTCCAAACCTATTATGCAAAATAATTTCCTTGACAAAAATACCTTGCTTTCCTTTAGGCTATATATATTTTAAAGTTTAAAGAATTTACTCACTTCATTCTGTCTGATTTTAGGCAAGGGGACAAAGAAACTGGAATGGTGTTTTACTGATAACATAGGTAATAGTAATAATAATAATGACACAGATAATGATCATTTGTATCTATCATTTATGTAGCATTTACTATTGCTAAGTATTTTACATGCATTGTTACTGCTAAGTATTTTACGTGCATTATTTGATTTCTTTATGTAAAGTTCTTGTGTTGTTCCTTGGCAGTGATTGCTTTGGGGGAAGGATGGATACCAGTTGTAACAAAAAAGCCAATACTCAGCTTTGATATGAAAAAATGATTAAAAATAAAAATGTCACAGTGAGATAATAGTTTTTAAAAGAAGCTCAGCTTTGAGAGAAGCGGGGGGAGAGAGAGAGAATATTTTGGTTGTTTTTTTTTTTGTTTGCTGCCCTCCCACACAAAAAAACTTTATATTACAAAAGCAAAATTTAGGAGTTGGCTCAAACAGCTTCATTTTAAGAGGCATCATGTAGAAAGGATAGAAAATGTGCTATGAAGGCATTTCCTCCCAGGTAGGGAAGGGAAGAAGAACTGCTCTGGAAAGGGAAGACCATGACTTGAAAAGGCAAAAAGAAAGAGGCTTGGAGACTTTGAAGTGTTTTCCTGGACTCTGAGAAAAAGGGCGGATGTGGGACCCAGTCAGGCCGGTTATGATAAGAAGGTTGGAATTCAAACGCCCGAGGAAGAGTCGGAAAGCAGAGTGCCGCGTGCTTCTGTTTAAATCGTGGCCGGAGACTGCCTCACTGGTGTCCCGTGTTGGCCTTGGGGGCTGTGGTGGGGGAAAATATACTGGTGGTACTGGAGGGAGAGAGAACTTGAGAAGATGCCGCTGCTACACTTCCTCTGGTGAGCAGGAGAACCCTTGTTTTAGAAATTTTTGCCTGACCCTGGTGGTGCGAGCAGGGACAGAGAAGATTGCAGAGGAATGAGTCAGTGTGCCTGTCAGGGAGCTATCGTGGCTTGCAATGAGGTGGGCCTGTATTGGAGGCTGGAGGGTGAACAACCCAAGGCCTTTTGTAGTCAGACCTGGTTTCATGGGCATGCAACTGCACAACTGCACAAAGCCTACACTTAGAAGGGCCCATGCCCTTGGCTTAGTGATGTGCTGTTGCAGTCTTGAAATTCTTAGTGATTTTCAAGAGCCCTGCATTTTCATTTTGCACTTTCTTACAAATTATATAGCTTGTGCTCCCTAAGGCCATCACCAAGAGGTACTCCTGCTGTGGAATGTTATAAGGCAGAGGCTGATTTCCCTGGAGTCAGTACGAATCAGCAGGAACAGCACATCATGTTAAATAAACTCACACCAATCCCCAGACACTCCCTGCTATAAGGGAACGTGAAGGTGGGAGTGGAAATCTTAAAGACTGATACTTTATCCAAAATGAAATTGACTAAGTTACTTTGAATAGGCAAATTTAGTTTCTCAACAATAAGCATGGGAAGGTGAAGGATTCTCCAGAGAAAGATGAGTACTAAGAGTAAGTAAGGAAACAGGTTTTGTACGTTGAGGCAAAGCTGGTGCTCAGCTGGAGCTCAGGAGGATGGTTGCTAAAATGTGGCAGTTTCTCCTTTAAAGTTGTTAGAAAGGCCCAACTGACTTGTGCCCCCACGAGATTACCCTCTTCTCTCTACCTGCAAATAAACAACTACCTTCTGATTCGGCAGGGGCTTATTAGCTGTCCCAGCAGGTATGGTCATATTCTTTATGCTTGGGCCATAATGACTGCTGTTATCCAATATTTTTCACTTCATTTCTGCATTTAGGTGAGAGTGTGTTCAAGAACAGGTACTCTTCCACTTACAATAGGATTAATTCTGGATAAACCCATCATAAATTGAGAACATCAGATAAAGCCAAAAAATCAGATGTTGAGCCATTGTAAGTTTGGGGCCATCTGTGTACCTTTCCCACTCAGAATTTAACAAACAGGTGCTAATCTCCATTTTATAGATGAGAAAACTGAGGATGAGAGAGATGAATTTGTTTTCAAGCTATTAAGTGGGAAGGCTGGGACTCAGACTAAAAATTGCCTGATTCCAGTGACCAATATCTTAATCGCTTCATGTATTAATCCATTTTCATACTGCTATAAAGAACTGCCTGAGACTGGGTAATTTATAAAGAAAAAAGTTTTAATTGACTCATGGTTCAGCATGGCTGCAGGGACTTCAGGAAACTTAATCATGGTAGGAGGCGAGTGGGAGGCCTTCTTCACAAGGCAGCAGGAAGGAGACGTGCCTAGTGAAGGGGGAAGAGCTTATAAAACCATCAGATTTTGTGAGAACTCACTCACTATCATGAAAACAGCATAAGGGAAACCATCCCATGATTCAGTTACCTCTGCCTAGTTTCTCCCTTGACTTGGGGATTATGGGGATCCTGTTTGGTTCTTAGGGTTACCATGGCGACTTCTCCAGCTCTGGAGATTATAATTCAAGATGAGGTTTGGGTGGGGACATAAAGCCTAACCATATTCTGCCAAATCTCATGTCTCTTTCACATTTCAAACTAATCATGCCTTCCCAACAGTCCCCCAAAAGTCTTAACTCATTTCAGCATTAACTCAAAAGTCCAAGTCCTAAGTCTTACCTGAGACAAGGCAAGCCTCTTCCACCTATGAGCCTGTAAAATCAAAAGCAAGTTAGTTACTTCCTAGATACAATATAGGTACAGGCATTGGGTAAATACCACTGTTCCAAATGGGAGAAATTGGCCAAAATAAAGGGTCTACAGGCTCTATGCGAGTCCAAAATCCAGTGGGGCAGTCAAATCTTAAAGCTCTGAAATGATCTCCTTTGACTCTATGTCTCACATCCAGGTCACGCTGATGCATGTGGTGGGTTCCCGTGGTCTTTGGCAACTCTGCCCCTTTAGTCCACCTTGTGAGCAAACAAGGTTTTTCCTTCATGACGCTTTAGTCTACTTTGTGGGCAAACAAGGTTTTTCCTTCGTGACGCTTTTCCTCCCCACTGGCCCACATATATTGTGATACCACCAGCAGTTGACATCTGCACAGGGAATAAAAAATAAGTTATTTAGGAAAGGTGTCTAAAGATTATTCAAGGTTGTCAAATTATAACCAACTTTAATTTAAATTCAAGATTTCGAGACTTTTATGAATTTTTGGTGAACTTGGCCAGAACAGAAGAGTCTGGCTATCCCATATCTGTGTCTTCCAGTATTCTCTTAATGATTTGGATAACATTCTGTTTTCCTTTTATGCCCATATAAGGAAGAATAATGACAAATTTTATAAAATGGTGTGAATCAGGATCTGAAACAGATGTAAAAATAAAAATAGAGAGTATAGTGGCCCAATATAGGGATGTAGGAGTGGTCTTATTATTATTATTTTTGGCTCCTTGAGACGGAGAGGAACATTTAGCCATGTGCCCATCTTATAGTTGTAAATAACCATCGTCAGCTTCTTCATACTTCATATTTAGTATGGTTGATGAATTAAATATAGGCAGAGAAAGCCATTTTTCAGGATAACGTAAAATCAGCACAATTCATAGTCTTCTTTCATGAGACATTTTGTTGCCTTCTTTAGCACTGAATTTTCTTTTACCTGTGCCTGAAGTTGAGGTTCCTTCACCTGCAGGTCTGTGCAGTGGCTTCCTTTTAGGCATGTGCTACTCAGATGAATCTTAAATGAACCAAATATCTTGAAATTAAAAAAAGAGTGCATATTCCCCTCCTTTTCTTTTTAATTAGATGATTAAAAATAAATTCTACTGGGATACTTTTTTACAGTCTACAAACTTTAGAATTGCACAATAAGTTTTAGAATTAAGTTTTCAATCCTTAATTCTAAAGTCAGTTTTAGAATTAAGTATTGAATGCTCTCTAGAAAACTAATATCCTCTACATCCCCCAAGCTCTCCACTTTTATAGTTTTTTTGTCCTGAAATAATAATAAAATATCCCCTTTATGCTTCTTGTGTCACCCTTCTCCACTGGGACACATGCAAAACAAGACCCAAGGTGGTACCTAGTGTGGGAAGCACACTTGCAAGTAATTTAAGTTGCAAGGTATTTTCTCTTCTGATTTTAATATCTTTATTTGCATAGAATATACATTTCTCTCACTATGGGTTACATTATGTTGCTCTATGAAATTGCTGTTTTTGTAGGTGTGAAGTTTCATGTGGTTCAACCTAATATATAACATTAAACATTTCAAAATTGAGGAACTGTAAACGTTTACTTGAACATCAGGACAAGCCTTGATATATCTCATTGCAGTGCATAGTTACTGGCTTTGGTGACTGGATTAAGGCACGAATAATCGAGAATTGATATCAATCTTATATTTTACTTTTAAAAAATCCATAGGCTCGTAATAATTCAGATGGGCCCATTACCTGTTTGGTGGGTGCAAATTCCAAAAAAACCCAGCTGAAAAATTTGGTTTGAGAATATTTATTCATCCATTCCACATTATTCGTTGTGAATCTATGTCATGTGCTAAGTGCTGGAAATAAAATGGTGAAAAAGAGAGATGTAGTCTCTACTCTCCTGGAAATTGCATGCTTTTGGTGAAGACAAGGAAAAACAAAACCAAAAGTAAAGAGGCAAATAAATAAAATAATTATAGATTGTTGTAAACATGGTAAGGGCCTAAAAAAGACTAATGGACACTATAGGGAAATGTACTTTAGGTAGGGCTGAGACCATCTTGCTCATTGCTGGGCAGAAAAAACAAAAATTCTGTAATAGGCATAGGGAGCTTTTTAGGGAGAGTCTTCCAGAAAAACAGAATCAACATTGTGTGTGTGTGTGTGTGTGTGTGTGTGTGTGTGTGTGTGTATGTGGTTGTGTGTAGAAAGGGAAAGAAAGAGAGATTTTAAGGAACTAGCTCACATGATTATGGAAGCTGGCAAGTCTAAAATCTGCAAGGTGAGTTGGTAGACCAGAGATTCAGGGAATAGCTAACGTTGTACTCCCAGTCTGAAGACTGCCTGCTGCACAATTCCTTCTTGCCTGTGGGAGGTCAGTTTTTCTACCATTAAGGCCTTCAGTGGATTGCATGAGGCCCACCCATGTTATGGAGGGCAATCTGCTTTGCATAGACTCCACTGATTTCATTATTGATCTCATTTGCAATAATATTCACACAGAAACATCCAGAGTAACATTTGATTGAATATCTGGGTAGCATAATATCTTTAGCCACATTGTTGCATAAAATTAGCCATCATAGGGTCTTACCTTCCATCCATCTGTATTTGTGTTTTTGTCTCCTTCATTATATTAAGGTTGGGGTGGTTGGGAAAATAAAATCTTCACTAAAAAAACTTATTATGGAAATGTTCAAACATACAAGAAAGTAGAGATAAAATCATATAATGAACCCCATATGTCCATCACACAGCTTCAAAAATTATTAACAAAAACAATTCATTTCCAATGATACCCTCTTGTCTCCATTTTCTTGTTTCCCTGGCTCAGAGAACATCCCTTTAAAATCTCTATCCTGTACTATTTGTTTTCTTGCAACTTAGACAACGGGTTATTGTCCCCTGCTCGAGAATTTGACCCTGCAGATGAACACGTTACACAGCTAGCTGATTGCTGGAGATGGAGGCATTAGGTTCAAGGTTGGGTGGGAACTAGAAGTCATTTGACAGATTTGTGCACATTTACAGTTGGAATATGAGCAGCCTTGCTTTCTGAGTTATTTACATAAGGGTGCATGGTGAGCTTCCTTAGAAACAGATTCTTCTTGGGGCATTTGAGCTTCCTCTGTGATGCTAGGATGGTAATAAAAACAAATCTGAAGCTCTCTTCAAGCATGAATTGCTGTGGAAATGTTTAACACCTAAGTTTGAGAGCTCCCTAAACACACATCACTATTTCAAAAACTGCAGAATATTTCCTTCATGCTTTTTCACTTTACCAAAGACTGTGTAACATAAGGATATATATATTTAACATATATAGTTTTGAGTCTTATTTTTAGTAGAAACTCTGGAGCCGTTCTATGTTTGAAATAGTCATAGCATGGAATTTTGTGACTGAGAATTCTAGACAGCCCTCAGTAAACCTTGGTAGTCCACATAGGAGCACTCAGGAGTCTTGCAGCATGGGTGTATTAGTCCGTTTTCACACTGCTGATAAAGATATACCTGAGACTGGATAATTTATAAAGAAAAAGAAGTTTTATAAACTCATAGTTCCACGTGGCTGGAGAGGCCTCATAATCATGGTCGAAGGTGAAAGGCACATCTTACATTGCAGCAGGCAAGATAGTATGAGAGTCAAGTGAAAGGGTTGGATTTCCACTTATAAAACCCAGATCTTGTGACACTTACTCACTGCCACAAGAACAGTATTGGAGAAACAGCCCCCAAGATTCAATTATCTTTCACCAGGCCCCTCCCACAACACATGGGAATTATGGGAGCTACAATTCAAGATGAGATTTGCGTGGGGACACAGCCAAACCGTATCAAAAGGTCTTCAGGATGATCTCTGGAGGCCTGAAATTCACATCTTGCTGGAGACAGTGAAACTATCTCCCCGCTACTTCATGGGAAGTTTTGAAGGATTTTTGATGTAGTGAAGATGAATATATCATTTTCAATTATAGATGAGGAAATTTCTTGTAAGTTTAAAGCTGTGTGCTTGTCTGCACGTGCTGAAGATTGGCATCATTAACAACATCTGTTCTCTTGGTGGCATCATCCAGAGAAATATCTCTCCAAGATACATCCTGTCTGGAGGGTACCATAGGTGGTAAAAGTTGCATTTATCAGATGAATATTGGGGTTTTGTGTTTCCCTTGTCAGCAAGCCCCTAATGTTTATTACACTTTAAAGAGACATATGCCTTAAATTAAAAACGTAATTAGTTGATGGGTGGGAAGCAAGGAAAAGAGATTTTTGTGTTGTTTGAATAGAATGAGTTAACACAGTTGACCGTTTATATATTGAAGTGGGTGTCTATGAGTTTATATGCTTAATTAACTATTTGAGTGATCAGTTTTAAACTAGTTATTGGAATAAGAGGTTTAAAATTTCATCACTTTTCTTAGTCTGACAGATTAAAAGAAGGAAAAGAAAAAGCATGTCTGTGTTTATACACTTCCATTAAAAATATACATATTCCTCTAAAACCTACTTAAGCAGCAAACACCTTATTCATAAAAGCTCTCATAATAATATCAATCCTGTTAGTTCAGACTTTTTGATTGAGGTTTAATGAAAATATGAAAGGTATTATTTAGTGTGTAAATTTTGAAATTTGAAAACCACTTTGAATCTTATTTTCTTATAGTTTTTCTACTCTCGATCTCTTAAAAAGTTCTTGATACATATGAACAAATTTCAGTTTTTTTTGTTTTTGTTTTTTAGAGATAGGATCTCTCTATGTCATCCAGGCTAGAGTGCAGTGGTATGATCATAGCTCACTGTAATCTCAACTTCCTGGGCTCAAGCCATCATTCAGCCTCAGTTTCCTAAGTAGCTTAGACTTCAGTTGCAAGCTCTCATACCAAGTTAATTTTTCTATATTTTCTAGAGATGGGGTCTCACTATGTTGCCTGGGCTGGTCTCAAACTCCTGGCCTCGAGGAGCCTTCCCACCTTGGCCACTCAAAGTCCAGGGATAACAGGTGTGAGCTACTGCTCCTGGCTTAATATCAGGTTTATTGAATGAAATTGCTATGTGATTGAAAACTGTTTATCTTTTTTGTTCTTCCCCAGTGAGCATTGACTACAGAGCAGTAATTTATAGTTCCCATTCCACAAAGGTGCAGAACATTTGATGGGAATAAGCGTGATGGAGAGAACCTACCTTTAGGGCATTAAACCTTTGAATATTTATTTTCAAAATCGTCTTGAAGCAAAATCCAAACCATGGCATTACAAGGCATATTGCAGAAAGTATGTGAAGCTTTCAATGTCTTACCTTGACTGTTTAACAGAGAGATTTTTTTAAAGGTTTGTGTTTGATCTTCCCAAATCCTTCCATCCCTTTCTGCCCCTAAACAATTGATGCCTGTTAAAACTCTACTTGGTGCCTCATTAGTCTCTGTTGGAAAGACGTCAGAGTCCTTTTGAATTTTTGTTTTTCTTATTATTTGATTTTGTGGTTGAAGACCAAACTGGTATTAATTTAAAGAACGTTTTAGGGCAAGAATTCCATTTAGAATTTCTCTGAAGAAGCTGAAATGAATCAAATGTGTATTTTATGTGGGACTGTGCTTAGACAGGGAAGCCAATGTGAAATGTCATTTTCATATCACTTGGAAGATTTTCCTTTCCATTAGCTGCTCTATTGCAGGACTCATATTTATATTAAAATTCTTTTTGGAATGAAATTTTAGCGTTTTGCTATCAGAAAGTAGAATCTTATTCACTATGGGTGATAGTAAATCTTAGTTGAATATGAACTGAGCTATGCTAACAGAAGACTGCAAGATATTTGCTGTTCCTCAGCAAGATTCCACATCTTTTAGTGAGAAATGGGAAGGATTGAAGGAGGAAGAGAAGGAAAAGCAACGTACAGGCATTGTTGGCTTAAAATAGAAATATAACTAGCATTTTGGTTTAACTGAACAGATACAATCTGTATAACTATATATAATGCTATAAAATAGGTCACACATGTATGTAAAATTAGTTAAGAAACATTTGGCTCCACTATCATGCCTAGAAAACAGTGCTTTCCAGTTCTTATGTGAAATTTCCTGCTAGTAGAAAAGGAAATGTAAAAGGAGTGTTTTCAAATATTCTTTGATTGAGGTCACTTTGGCTGGGTCGACCTGAGAGACATCATGTACCATTCACGTAACCTACTTATGTTTACAACCACAAAGATCCCATTAAGGCTGCTGTTTTTGATGGGATCCCAAGAGGATATGATTATTAATGTTTGCCAGACACGGAAGCATTGACAATGTCATATTATTAGCATTACTATTCTAACAGTCCAGTCATCAAAGACCCCAGGAGACCTCATTTTGATAACCACTAATGAAGAAGATAAAATGTGTAGCAATAGTCACTTCAGTAATGAACAGTTTTACTACCTGTTTAGTATGAAGCTTGTGTAAACAATTGAGGAGAGAATATAAGGAAAATATCAAACAGTTGTTACCATTGATTTAGATAGAGACTTTCAATTTATGAGTGCTGATGTGTTCATTCATAGGAGGGGGTCAGTATAATAAGGACGTGAGGCTGTGTCCTAGGATCTAGAAGAAACATTTGCAATGAATTAGTAATTTGTGATGGAATGGTTTTCTGCCTATCAATACAACTTTCATTAGAGAAAGATTTATATTTTCCTCATCCCAGAGTGGGGACCAGATTAAAACCTGTTGTGTGATTGTTGGTTGTAGAGTATTTTTCAGAGACAGACCAGTCTCAGCAATCTGTGATGTTTATAGAAGTGACACTGGTTAACAGAGATCCTTTTAAGACTCTGAAAAAGGTACGAAGATGATCCCCAGGAAAAACTCTTTCATTTGACATTTTGCAAATAGTTTAAAATTTATGAAAACATCCCTGGATTTTATAGGAGGTTAGCCTTCTGATTAAGCAAATCTAATTTATGGAGGCCAGTCTGAATTGAGTTCTAATTGATTCAATATAAATACATCTTGACTGACTTCTATGTGCTAGACATGGCTGCTAGGTGCTAGAATTTATGATATGTCTATATCGTAGATATGTTTTAAGCACAATGAATTAAATGTGTCTTGGCTACCAACAGTAGTAATGAGAACAGTGGAGGTGGCTAAGGGGAGCTCCCCAAGATCCTGCTTTAGAATGTTATCTCAGAGAACACCGACAACTTACCAAGTGTAATTCTGTCATTTTGCAAGTGAAGAAATGGAAGCCCAGGAGTTGAAACATCCTTTTTGAGTTCATAAATATTGCAGAGGTGAAATTGACTCCTGGTGCCTGATACCTATTTTAGTGTCATTCCATTGTCTCCCTAATC